GGGGGTGGAAATCATACTGCAGTGGTTTGGAATAGAGTACTGCAACAACTTCTCCAGTCTGATATGGATCAGGTGAAACACTTGACCTGACTCCTGGGACATGTGTTCCAGGTGGACAGAGCTCTTAAATCTAACTTGTTTAGGAACCTTTATAGCTCATGAAAGAGAGGGAAACCACCCACTGGCCAGTCATTCTGAGAAAACCAGTGACTCCTCATTTTCAAGCCAAAAAGGCTGTTCACATGGTCCTGAAGTACAAGAGAAGGCACCTCTCCATGACCAGAAAGTCAGAGGACAAATAAGGTTAAAAGTAGATGCCACTAGCACTCACTAACCCTATGAAGCAGTATGTATGTCAGAAGCAGCACAATACTATCCCTGCACACTCTCCCTGACCCACACATCACATTCCAGTAAGTCTGGACTTTTTATGCTACAAATAAGGTGCTGTAAGAAGCCTATATTCTGACAGAGGATGGCTGAGAAGTGCAGAGACAGTGCTAAGATTGAGCTATGCTGAGTTAAACTCTTTCAGAGACAGTGGGGTAGAGATAGGGAGAAGTGAAGGTTTGAGAGCAGCTTGATAACAAAAAGTTGTGAGGCCGTATCACATTGGTGCTGTCAAGAATGTATCACAGGGCAATGATTCCAAGACATTTCAAATTACTCAGTTCTGACAAAAAAAGAGTATTAAGCATGTTTTAAGCATATTAAGCTCATGTTTTAGGCATGAGCAGATGGAGCAGTAGATAGGAATTCCCTGGCATCTAACATCTAGCTCAGCAGACAAGCAAGACTAACCAAGGAAATCAGTGTTTCAAGAAGGCAAAAAGAAATGTTGACACATTGCTAGGGACCTGTTTAACCATACCTTCCCAATGTAAACTGTAACCCAAAGCATGCAAGGCATGTCCTCGGAGGTATGAAGGCTCGAACAGAGACATTTAGGGCAGCTGAATCTGTTACAACTGGCTGACTCCAAAAACCAAATACCACCCTTAACATGCATTTGAAGCAGAAACTCTGGAGTTTAAATCCTTGCTCATATTTTATACAAGGCTTGAAACAGCAGTAGTATTGCACATTCAAAGACAGTGCAGTTCCACTGAACAGGGATGAAAAAGATACATTTAAAGTGTGACAAAGACCTAAGTATCTTTCACTCATAGTTCAGAGCTCTCTTGCCTTATGGAACATCAACCAGCTAGCTCAGTTTGCTGACTGAAAAGAACCGAAATTATTGTGGATGTACTTTTCATTCTATTTTATATCATAAGTGACAAGAAAGACAGGAAAAAACAGAAAATCCTCAGATAGTTGACATGCAAAAACTTTCACATACAATAATACATTTATTATGAAAACATACACATGAACTATCAAACAAGTTTATCAAATAAGTTTATCTTTTTTGTTCTCCAAGGTCAAATATATTTTCCTTGTTACATTTTCAGATACAATCCTGTCAACAAGCATGGACTTGATTAAACTTGGTAGAAACAGTCCACTAGATACATGGAGCTAGTCATCCATAATTATTTCCAGGAATTGCACCATATATACCTTCTAGTAGGTATTTAAAGGATTCTAGCAACTACATAAAAATCAACATGCAAGACATGCATGTATTACTGGATGCAGAAGATTTCTATTCCAGAATAGGCTTTTTCCCACACATTTAAGCTTCTGTCAATTCATCAAACATATGTTCAGATACTTGCTCTAAGTTCTGTAACAAAAGTCAATTTCACTTGATTTTATAGAAATTAAAAACGTAAGAAAAATTCCTAATAGATAATTTTTTACCACAGGGTGGGTAAGAACTTCAAAAAGCCATCTAGTGCACCACCCTATCCTGTAGCAAACTGGTTACAGACTTGTCTGTCTGGTTTGTTTTGACACAACCCCATAGTGAAAGAAGGTCCATAGCTCCCCTGGCAAGAGCACTCCCTTCATGCTCTTTACTTTATTTGAAACACAGGAGTTCAAGTCTTAACTGTTTTGGATGACATCCATTACTTTGTCCTAGCTGCTATGGACATAGCAAACTGACTCCTTTCATGTTCGTAGCAGCCAAAAGGCACAGGAGAACTTCTTTCCCTCACAGTCTTGACTAAACCAGTCTTCATTTTTAAAAACACAGCATGACACTGTTCACTTGCATTTACTTTTTGATGGACTTTGAGTCATTACCTAAGGAACCTTTCCATACCAAATAATTCTTAATTTGGATTTGATCCTTTCTTCATATACTATCTGAGTATTATTTATTGAACTGTACCTTACATTTTTTAAGATTATATTTGTAATCTGTCAGGATTCTTACATTCTAACCCCACTGTCAAGCCTACATATTTCAAACTTATCATTTGCAAGTTTAATAAGCATTCTCAATTTTACAAGGCACTCAAAAATACTGAGCAGATCCATAAATCCCTGTGGAGTATCATTTCATGTTTCAAATTTGGCAATAATGTATTTAAATACTTCAAATTGTTTACACTCTTCTTATAGCAGATTCCTCTTGATTATGCTTTTAAGATTACTTGTGAGGATATTTTAAAAGATCATCACAAGCAAAATACTAAAATTTCATTATATAAAACATCTGCCTCCTGTCCATGAGGCCTACTGTGGACAGGATTTCCTTTCAGAAGAGGAAATCAAATCAGTTTGTCACAAGCTATTCTCAGCAAGTCCATCTTACCTATCAATGATATTGTGACTACTTTTTAATGTGTTTCTTTTTATTTTGAAAAAATCATGTCCATGCTCTACGTGTGTGTCTTTTGTCCTGAGATTATTAGTCCAACTTTTAAAAAACATCATCGCTTCTCTCCAGTTTTCCAATACCCCACTGATTCTGCATGCACTTCAGGAGAACTAGAAGTGACACCTGAAACTACTTGCAAGTTATTTTAAATATTATTTCAAGCTCTTCCTAATGTATCTTATTTAAAAGGGATATGGTATCAGATCTGAGCTGAAACTGCTTGCAAAATTTTATGTGTGAAGATACAAGTTATATTGGGTTCGCATGGCAAGGTCTGGTAGCAAGGCGGCTACAGGGGTGGCTTCCATGAGAAGCTGCCAGAAACTTCAGGCATGTCAGACAGACAAGGCTCCACGTCAGACCCACCGGTGGCCAAGGCCGAGCCAACCAGCAATGGTAGTAGTGCCCCTGTGATAACATATTTAAGGAAGATAAAAAACCTGCACAATTTCAGCCAGAAAGAGGAGTGAGAAGATGTGAGAGAAAAGCTCTGCAGACACCAAGGTCAGGGAAGAAGGAAGGGGAGGAGGTGCTCCAGGCACCAGAGCAGAGATTCCCCTGTAACTTGTGGTGAAGACCATGGTGAGGCAGGCTGTCCCCCTGCAGCCCATGGAGAACCCCATGCCAGAGCAGGTGGATGCCTGAAGGAGGCTTCCATGTGCCCCATGGGAAGCCCACTTGGGAGCAGGCTCCAAGCAGCATCTGTGGCCCCTGTGGAGACAGGAGCCCACGATGGAGCAGGTTTAGTGGCAGGACTTGTGCCCCCATGGGGGACCCACACTGGAGCAGTCCAGTGCTGAAGGACTGCACACCACGGAAAGGACCCATGCTGAAGCAGTTTGTGAAGAACTGTAGCCTGAGGGAAGGACTCATGTTGGAAAAGTTTGTGGAAGACTGTCTCCCACGAGAGGGACCTCATGCTAGAGTAGGGGAAAAGTGTGAGGAGTCCTCCCTCTTAGAAGGAAGGAGTAACAGAAATAATTGGTGATGAACTGACTGCAACCCCTGTTATGCATCCCCCTGTGCTGCTGTGGGGCAGAAGGTAGAGAAATCAGGAGTAAAGTAAGCCTCAGAAGAAGGGAGGGGTGGGGGGAAGGTGTTTTAAGATTTGGTTTTATTTCTCATTATACTATTCTGATTTTATTAGTAATAAATTAAACTAATTTCCTCAAGTTTATTCAGGTTTGCCTGTGATGGTACTTGGTGAATGATCTCTCTGTCCTTATCTTGACCCATGAGCCTTTTCTCTCCCCTGTCCAGTTGAGGAGGGGGAGTGATAGAGCAGCTTTGGTGGGCACCTGGTATCCAGTGACAGTCAATCTACCACACGAGTGTAGGCGAGTTGATCGAGGTAAGGATATGTAACGCTTTTTTGCTTTTTTTTTTTGCTTTTTTTTTTTTAATGTTTCCTTTAGAAGAATCTATCTTGGAAGAACACCAACATTAGCTTACTGCTGCTTCAAAGGATAATTCTTGTATCTATTACTATAGTACATAATACATGTATGTGGAAGCATTATTACATTTGTTTTTAAAACCACATATTAAACAATTATTTATGCCAGTTTTGTTTTCTAAATCAATATATAACATTTTTGTTAACAGTAGACATTACCTGGGAAGTTTTCACACAATACTTCTACAGGGGTTGCTCGTTTTGTGTCTCCAATTTTCTGGTAACGTTCTTTCAATGTATCAGCCTATGACACAAAACCAAAACAAGCTTCTGAAGTCACACAGCTTGCAGACAAACTTCCAAAAACAAAAAGATCATGGCAAGAAAAGCTGATGATCTGAAAATAGGATAGAGGAAGATATCAAAAACCATTACCTTTAAACCTTGCCATGGAAGGCTTCCTCTGAGAAAATACATAAACATATGACCTAAAGCTTCCAAATCATCTCTTCTACTTTGCTCTGAAACAAAATTCAAATATTATTAGAACATTCAATCTGCATAATTTTACACTGTATTTAAAATATTAGCTTCCAAATTATGTAAAAGCAATTAGGAGGTATAAAGTACTTGAAATCAGAGCATGTGGAGGGCTTCTTGTGTACTACAGACTCCATTAAGAACATAGCTAAAACAAAAAAAAAATGCAGATGCAGACTGCAGGTTTATTCCTCTCAACAGTACTTTAAACAAATTATCCCCTGCTAAAGCAGGGGGGTTGAACTAGATGATCTTCTGAGGTCCCTTCCAACGCCTGCCATTCTGATCTCACTGTAAGAAACTGTTGTTTTAAAAATATATTTTGACCCTTTACATGTATAATTGCACTTTAATTCTGATATTTTTTGATCCATTAGTTGTGAACTTGAAACAGTTTAAGAAAGCTTTAATTGAATTCATTTTCTCTCTACAAATCATGGGAAAGATGGTGTTTCTCAGGGATCCTTTATGGAATTTCTGAGTAAGCCAAAGGTGGACTGAAGAGGCTCAGAAGTCCTACGATCAGAAAGCAGCATGGAGAAGCATGTATACATACAGCCTGCTCTCGAGTGTATCTGACTTAAAAGCTAAGTTACAGAAGACAACGTCTGGTCTGGATACAATTTCTCATTTCTAGTAGAGTAGTGACAGTCCTTCAAAAAGTTCACAGATGGTTAAAGAAAAAGGAAAGTAACAAACAAAATGCAGTGCATTCAAAGTTCAAAGTTTTCAAAGTACATTCCATATTATTTAAAAAAAAATCCATTATTATTAGGAAAACTGAATGTAACAGGAAATAGTAAAAGTCTTCAAATGACTAGCAGAAAACAGATTTTTACCTGACTTCATTCTGTACTGCTGTTGAAACAACCATTACATAAAGTTTTGAAGCAACGGGTAGCATTTACCTCTAACTTTGTTTTGTTCTCTGATATAAGGCAGAAAACCAAAACATAAACATAGTTTCTACTCAACATCTTCATAAACAGAAAATCACTATGCTTCAACAGCAAAAGAAATGGAGTAGAAAATTAAATAAGAAAATGTTGGTTAGATATTGAACACAGGAAAGTTAATAAAGCCAACCTGGCTTTGATCTGATCAACACAAAATATTGCCACAAATACAGGGCATCTGAAAAACAATTCTTAATCTCCATACAAAAAGAACAATTTACTTATTACTCGGTTTTCTATCCCTATCTTGCATATGAAGTCTGAGTAAACACATAGTAGCAAATGAGTAAGAAAATACCATTAAAAATGTATGGTAATTCAGAGCATGGGTTACATCTAGCCACTTACTTAATCACACAACTGCCAGCCATATGAGGATCTTTCAGTCATTTCTCCCTCACTCATTTCCATGTTTCCAGTTCCCTTGTCAACACTCTTGTTTGTGTCCACTCCTCCACTCTTGTTGTCAACTGCTGCGATTTTTCTCAGTGAGCACCTTCCTGACAATTCAGTCTTACCTGAATTTCTCTGCCAACCCTGCAACATCCCATTTGCTGACCATACGCTATTGTTTTTGGTTTGGGAGCGGGGGGAGGGTGGCTTTTTTGGTAGTGGGGGAAGGGCCACCTTGTGAGAGCGAAAAGCTTCCCTGGCTTCAAGGTGGAGACCCCCCAGCCGAGGTTGGGCCAGTGAGCACTAGAAAAATGCCTCTGAGAATCCATATTTGTGAGGGGAAGGACTGTCCTGAAAAGAAGCAGGTGTGGTACGTGGAAGAGAGGCCATGGACCTGAACAAAAGATGACCATTGGCCTAAACAAAGGACAGAGAGAGAGCTCTGTTGCCAGAGGAAAAGACAGAGACCCACACACAGTTCTACCACATGGAGTAGGAGAAGACAAAGGAGGTCCCTGAAGCCCATGGAGATTCAACAGTGGAGCAAAGACCCACGTGTAGGCCATGGAGGACTCCACACTGGAGCAAAGAAGTTGAGCTTGAGGCAAGTGTGACTGGAACTGGGACCCCCAGAGTCTCTCACTGCCAGAGCAGGGGTGGACCCCCAGAGTGGAGAGTGAGTCTGCAGCCAATGGATGTCCCCATGCCAGAGCCAGGAGCTGTGACCGAAGGGGTCCGTGACTCTATAGGAAGCTTGTGTTGGAACATCTTGTTCCTGGACTTCCATGCCAGGAAGAGAGGCAGAAGTGAACTGACTGAACCCCTATTCCTGCCGCTGAGGGGGAGACAGTAGAGAAATTGGGAGCAAATTTGAGTCCAGGAAGAAGGGAGGGGTGAAGGAAGGTGTTGTAAGATGTGGTTGTTATGTCTCACTGTGCTACTCGGATGAATGGCAATGAATTAAATTGATTTTTCTTCCCCAAGTTGAGTCTGTTTTGCCTGTGACCATAACTGGTGAGTGAGCCGTCCCTGTCCTTCGTTCCTAATCCCACATCCCCTTTGTTGTGTCTCCCAGCCCACCTCACCGGGTGGGAGGGGTCAGTGAGTGCAGGACTGCATGGTCCCACTGTGGGTCAAACCACCACAGTTATCGTGATGCAACCACGTAGGTTAAGAAGAAAGCAGGAATAAGCAGCAGAGATAGACACAGAAGTAATGAGTACTTCATGAGCACTGCTCACGACAAACATTTTTTGCAATACGCTGTGTGCTTTACGTAGGACAGATCAGTGGTAAGATGGTGGCAAAGCATACAAAAATGTTACAACTGTACAACAGATGGTCCATCTATGGGTAACATTACCATATGGCCCACAAAAATGTATTGGAAAGTTCTGTTTGGTCTTTGCTAAGGGACTTCCTTCCTTCCTTTCTTTTGCATTAACTTCTAGAGGTTATGCTGATGAAAAATTAACTTCTCCTTTAAAAAAAAAACAAAAACAAAACACCACACACCTTATTGAGGCAATTGTTCCTTCATTGAGAGTCCTTTCTATGAAAGAAGAAACTTTCAATCTTTACCCTGAAATAATTTCTAATTAAGAGAGGTTTTTGGGGGGTTTGTTTGCTTGTTTTTAATGAGCTTTGGACCATTGGAGATACTTCTGTAGGATAGTTCTGTGGGAATTACTTCTAGGATACACCATTTGAATTCACAATGCCCTCAAGAATCTCTTATGGGAAACTATTTTTTTGTTTGTTTTAATTTTGGGGAAAGGGGACTGTTATTAGAAACCATTTGAGTTCTTCAATGATCACATTGGCATAGTTAAAAAGTAGTAGTCAAATCTCTTTTCCCATGGATGGAATTCTTCAAGATAATCCTGCGAAACAGGAAACCCAAAGATTATATTGCTATCATTGGAAGAAGGACCTCTGAAAATTGGAAATAAAACTAGTAGTGGACCAGATGGAATGCAAAAGGATTTCAAGCATCAGGAAGGGCTGCTGATGTATGCTGATCCTAGTGCATCACAATTTATAATGATATTGAGAAGATCTGTTGTCTAAAAGGAAATATGATCATAAGATGACAAACACACAATAAAGCTTTAAGGCACATGAAAGTAAAAGCCCCATTCATACTGTTCAGTGTTTGTTAGACCTAAGAGATGATGATGAATAGTTTTATATCACCTAAGAAATGCCTGCAAAATAATCAAGTCAAAAAGAACCACCACTCTGAGTTTGAACTGAAGCAGAGTTATTACACGAGGTTGCGCTCCTTTGCATGGTTTAGCAACATCACTGTAAAGATGTCAGAAAGGCATTCTAAACCATTTCTATCCATATTTAAGAATTATCATTATATTTGAGAAACTCATGTCAGAAGGAGACTTACAACAGTAAAGTGAGACATGCTATTAAAAAGAGTAGCTTTGTGTGTACTTTGTCACAGCTGCCTTGGCCAAAGGAGTCAGTATATACCTATCCACTCTTCCTCATGGCTTTGCATCAGACTGAGAGGTATACTACTACCCACAATACACAAGTTAAATTTGGCAGAACCTTCATACACATTAAACAAGTTACCATTAGAGAAAATTAAACCTGTCCAACCAGAGATCATGATCCTACCTAGAGAGTAGCAAAGTCTCCCTTGAAGGAGAAAGTGTCATTTACTACATTCCTGTGTTATTATCAGGCAGGTAATCCCCTCAAAATTCAATTATGTTCTTCAATTAATTACCAATTTTATGTTTTGGTTTATTTTATTAAATGATACAGGGGGTGGGAGGGGTGTCAAATTTTAAGACAGACTTATTGGATTTGGTTGTATCACCTTAAGCTGACACCAACTCGGCATACCATGCCTGAAAAACAAAGTGAATGCTTCCTTTACCTGAAGAACTTGTGTTCTAAAAGTTATGTTTAGGAAGCACAAGCCTGCTATCAAGTTTTTAAAAGTGTTCTCAGTGTTAAATATTCTATTCAGGAAATACTAGTGTTTATACCATTTTTCTTTAAATGAAAAATCATTTAATCTAGTCTTAAAGCTCTTTGGCTCTAATGTGTCTGAACAACAATGCAGTTCCAAGTCTTCAGTTGGTGAAGAATAATAAATCTAGGAAACATGACAAGCTTAAAATAGTTCAGCTACTTTTTACACATCCTTTTACTGATGTGAATGCATACAGAATTAAGGCCTGGTTCATATACAATGCATTTTTTGATGGTAAGTGGGTGGGAGGTCTTTCATTATATTTCAATTGCCTGGAATATGACATTATACTGTTTTAATTAAGAGACTGCTTCCTACCAAGAATTTCAAAACCCACTGATATCAATGATGATAAGACAAAATCATGACAAATTTGTCATCATCATGGTCATAAACAAAATATCATAGGACTCTCATAAGTACTGCTGTATTGTAAAGACAGAATTCTCCTTCCATTTTCAAACACTAAAGGAGCTGCTCAAATAAAGCTGGCATACTGTATTTCTTTTCTAACACGGATGAAAGGCCAAAATGTGTTCTAGTAAGCCAGTTCTCTGATATGGTTTCAATACCATTGTGGAAATAAATTTAACTGAAAAAAGAAAAGTATTCCTATTTTTACACAACTGTAAAACAATAATGAGAAACAAAATTAGTTTAAGCTCATTACCTTTACCTCTAATAAATATTAAATAAAAAAGTTAATAAATAAACCTTTTATCCATCTGACAAACTTCCAGCTGCAACTACTAAAACAGTAATAGCAATGTGGTGAGAAAGTAGGGGAAGTTTTCTTCTCTGTATGTACTACAGGAACATGTATTACTGGCACAGGTTGCCTGAAGAGGTTGTAGAGTCTCCCTCTTTGGAGATACTCAAAAGCTGTCTGGACACGGTCCTGGATAACCAGCTCTAAGTGTCCCTGCTTGAGCAGGAAGGCTGAACAAGATGAAGCTCCCTGCCAAACTCAACCATTCTCTTATGAGCAGTCCACCACTGCAATCTTTCTTTAGTTGCTAAGAATCACCAGACACTTCTGTAATACAGAAAGGAACCACAGGAACCATGATGCTCTGGCAAATGGCAATGCTGGTATTTGAACTGTCCACTTCTGAAATGCATAACCAGTACTTTCTAAATTTGAGACATTTTTTGAGACTCAAACCAGCATTTGAAGATGCACAAAACAGAATGAGGGTAACATCCTGATGCTCTGAAGTATCAGTTGAAATAAGGAGACATTCCCCCACTCCAATCACCTGTTCACATGAAAAAACTTGTGGGTAGACGTCTGAAAGCAAAGACAACTGTCAGCTCTGACATAGCCAGTATCTAACAAAATTGACCTTTGGAAGCTATTGGTCAGAATACCAGATGGCTGACACCGAGTTTGGCTTTTCTCTAACATCCTGAAATGGCAGCCCTGTGGTAGGGGTAACTGAACACTTTGTGAATCAGTCCCTGAATGATGACAGGTTTTTAGTGCAGTTTAGATTTCAATAAACTGAAAGGTTTGTTAGCTTTAAGAATTAATGCTGAAACCTGTAGTTGATCATAATTTTCTTCATTACCTATTTGGTCTTCCTTTTCATGACAACTAATACTAATCATCGTTCTTTCCTTCTACAAGTAAGCACCACCTTCAGTGGTTCAATTTTTAATCTGATATCACCCTGGCAAGCTATAGGTTTTAATCTGGAACCTACAGTAAACTGCTATACAATTTATTGTAAAATTTAATTTTAATTTATTAAAAATCTTTATGTTCTTAAACTTTTTATCACTGTGTTCTACTTAAACAGGGAAAATAAACTAGAATGAATACTAATAAATAATCTTTAAAGATACGAACTACAAATATGCATTTTAATTCTGTAGATTGCTTTGCAGAACCTAACTATGCAAAAGTGCACATAAGTATATCTTTCAAAGGAATCACTATTCATACTATTTTATAAATATTATTTTTGCTTTTAAAAAATCTGCTGGTCAGTGAAGAGCTAAGTAGAAAGGTATATGAAGTCATTGTAACACTTCAGGTATTTAAAAAGTTCTAGATGAGGACAGAATATCTTGGAACCTAAATAAGGAAACCAGGGCTATTTAAGTACTGAGGTCAAAGTTCACAACTTAGAACCTTCCATTCCTCAGCTCTTTTGTCCATGTCAACCTTGTTCACAAATTGCTTATTTGAAGGAAGGATGCTTCCAGAATTCGTTTATATTATCAGAAAAGGAAGTCTGCAAGAATGATAACAAAGAAAAACCAACTTCCCCCAAACTACCAAGACTCAACTTGCCAGCAAAAGGAAGACATTTCTCACTGGTTTCATTTCATCTTTTCAACTACAACATGACAAACTTCATATGTTGATTAACTTCTTTATATACAAAAGCTTTAGTCTTAAAAAAGAAAAGCAAACTGGGTAACTGTTTCACAGCTGCTCCATTAAATATAAACCCACTTACTAAGCTTAGCCAAGAAAGCTGTATTCCAGGATGCTCACAGGACCAAGAGTCTCAATTGCTTTTCACAAGACTTGGTTATATTCTAGATATTAAATCTGTTTCTTTGACAAACAGTAATTGAAATTTGTGCATTCCTGATGTCTAAGTACAAAGAATTATACCAGTGCTTAATATACTTAGCAGAAACTATCTCAAATATCTGTTACTTACTTTAATTAATTCTATGCTTTATACAGAAGCAATTCCAAAAAACTGGAAAGACAGCCACAAGAGCCCAATCTCCAAACTTTAAAAAGGGAAGCAACTATTATTTTGTCTTATTTTCAGAGCTTCCCCTAAAAGCATGCATATAAGGAAGGTACCCACTCTGTGCAGATGTTTCCAAGATGCAGGATTGCAAATGAGATTTCAAAAGCAACTCAAAAGGCTGCCTCCAAAATCAGGTATCGGATACATAAGCAAAACAGTTGCACATTATACAGCACTTTCTCTATTTCCCTAAAAAAATATGCAGTGTGTAAATATGTAAAAAGTTATTTAAATTTAGGTGTACATTACCCAAATACAACTCTTCTCAAATGACTGGGATCGCCTTTGAGCAACTGCCCGATTCAGTGCTTTCTGACCATATGCTTCTAATAATGTGGGGACCTTATACGAACTGTTAACCTTACATATGGATACATAACACAGCCATAGTTACACCTGCTTTTTTCTCACAGCTTAATGGAGAAATTTGAGGTTGTTTTAGGAAATCTGTGTGGAGAAACCAGCTCTTGCCAAAATCTGTAACGAATGGCAGAATTGGTTTGCACATCATTAAATTAAATCCCACAGCTTTGCTTGTGAAGAAATAAGGAAGCCAGAGGATTCAGAAATGCAAGTCAGGTGAAATACAATTCAAAACTAATTTTAAATTATCAAGTAATGTTTGGTCATGTGAAATCAATAGCCTTTTGAAACGTCACCATAGAAAAACCATCTTTTCGTCATCAGTTAAATGTAGCTGTTTTAAGTCTTCCTCCTATCTGTTCTGAAGATTTGCAGGTTTTGCTTAATTTGAAAAAGTTCCACGTTCTCTAACTTGTCTGGAGATGCTGCAGATTTCCCGAGTTTGCTGTCCTGAAGTGCTGTTAATGACATTTTGTAAACAAAGATCTACATTTGCCGTGGAATGCACTAAACAGTAATCGCATATATTCTTTCTCTATATTTTCACAGTTTAATGTCAAGAAAATCAGGCAGATCTTTCATCCAGATTTATTTTAAGACTAAGGTAGGCACCAAGAGAAAAGCAGGTATCAGGAGAAGAGTCTCATACTGATTAAGTAAAAAAAAAAATTGCCTACAGACAAGGTAACTCAATTTCTTTTTAAAAAGGAATATAGGTTGAACATGCCTAATTATTATCCTTTAAAGGAAATCTATTATGACTTTATTATAAAAAATACATCAAACTGAACTACATTTGAGGCACTGGAGCATGTCCAAAGAAGAGCAAGGAAGCTGGTAAAGGGTCTAGAGAAGTCATCTTAAGAGGAGCAGCTGAGGGAACTGGGGTTGGTTAGTCGGGAGAAGAGGAGGCTGAGGAGACGTTATCGCTCTCTACAGCTACTTGGAAGGAGGGTGTAGAGAGGTGTGTGTCAGTCTCTTCTCCCAAGTAACAAGAGATAGGACAAGAGGAAATGGCCCCAAGTTGCACCAAGGTAAGTTTAAATTAGGAAAAATTTCTTCACTGAAAGGGCTGTCCGGCACTGGAACAGGCTGCCCAGGGAGGTGGTTGAGTCACCTTCCCTGGAGGTATTTAAAAGAAGTGTAGATGTGGTGCTTGGGAAGGCAGTTTAGCAATGGACTTGGCAGTGAAAGGTTTACTTTGGACTCAAAGACCTTAAGGGTCAATTCCAATCTGAACAGTTCCATGATTCTATATGTTAACATAATTTTATCAGCTGTCCCTGCTAACCACAAGCTACTATGTTCTGATTTTTGTTTATAAAATACCTTATTACAATCTGGAAAATGTGAATGGTGTCTCATTTGACATATTAATATGAACCATAAGTATTGTTAGAAATTTTTTATGACCAATTCAAAGAGCAACATAATTACTGATTACCATGAAATGATACGCAACTGTTTTACACAAATTCAAAGGTGTGAAAACCTGTTTTCACTAGAAAACGTCTATGTAACTGGAATAAACAAAGACTGCTTTGAGTGCTTACGCACCCTTTTCCAGCTAAATATATTCTATTCAATAATAACTTACCTCTCTATATATCCTGTAATTTCTTTAGCTCATCATATTTACAACACTAGCATAACCTTTAACTACTCTGACAAAGCCTCAATAACAGTATAAGCATTAAAAAAAAAAAAAAATCAATAAAGCAGCATCAAGTATAAGCTACTTTTATTCCACAACATGGTGCATTTCAAAGGGATTCAAAAAACTGGCAAGGTAGCACTGAAAACCTGTGTTGTTGCAATCTATTAATTTTTTACATCATTAATAAGCATATCTACTTCCCACCCACCTTACCACACCATGATATACTTCAAATGTGAAGAAGTTACGATGCAAAATGATACACCTCATCTTTCTTTTATGGATAGCTAACAAAAATAATTATTTGCTTAGACATGACCATGATGACTAGAGATCCAGAGAACCTTATTCTCACAAACAGTATTTCCATAAGGACAAACTAATTTTGCAAGTACACAAAACTTGCAGTACTTAAAGACTACAGACTGAATATTACAACTTGAAAACAAGATGATTTCAGATAAATGACAGCTGTGATATTCTTGTTTCTGCACTTAAAAAGTATACATACCTTTGCCTAAATGTGTATTTATACTCATGTATCTAGCTGTTCCTGTAAGGCTCTTGTGATCTCGATATGGTATGTGCTTCTTTGTTTCTGGATCAACATACTCCTTTGCCAAACCAAAATCTATAATATGAATGATTTTCTGGGTTTTGTTTCCAGGTCGTCCTATTAAGAAGTTCTCAGGTTTTACATCTCTGTATATCAAGTTCTTTGAATGGACATATTCCATACGTAAGATCTTTAATAAAAGGAAAAAATGACAGACAGTTTAAGCTTCAGGTCGCCACATTAAATTGTGGTAGAAGCTAAATATCTTACACTGACTTCATATTTAGAGGAAATCACCCCTCCTATCACCTTAAAAGCAAAGGGCTATTGCTCTTAACAAGGTATCTCCCAGTTGAAGTCAATGAAAATTGTACACATCCCCTAGACACACCACACCATGTATTGGAAATTTTCATGCTGGACATTAGACATAAATCAGTATATAAATACTTTCTTTAAGAATAGCTGGCACCAAGTATGTTTTGTGCACATAAAATTATAACCAGAAATTATATCATCAAGCAGTGAGCAAAGTTCCATGTAGATTTATTACAAATTAAAGGTATAAGCAAGAGTAGCACTGAAAGTTCACCACTATGCACATAACCTCCATTGTAGCTGGATCATTTTCTATCAAAATTTCTATATTCAGGAAGGAACAACAACTGTTAAATAAATATGATCTTCAGATCTGTGATGATTTGAGCATTTCAAAAAATGAACTTTGTAATTTTGGCTGTAAATAAGCTGAGTATGTCTGTACCTCTACAGTTTCAGGCCTGCAAGCTAATTGCAGTTCTGTTTTAAACAGCTATTTTTACCCTTCATAGGTACTTATTTAGGGAAGCAGAGGTTCAGTATAATTAATGTTTCATGATGACATACTTAAACCACACTGTATCAAGGTAAACATACATATTTCTC